TTGAAAGTCACTTGGAACAATTAAGGTAAGAACGAAGGGATAGTAATCTGCATCTGATATTTTGCTACCATTGTCTGTAAATTTTTATGTATGCTATAAATATTCAGGGATCATGATTAATAAAATCTCGTGAAAGAGAGATTTTATTAAAGAAGATACAAAAGAACGATGAACACAAACTATCTTATTTCTAACTATACAAGGTCTCTTATAGATATATGTCCAACGGTAAAAAGATTACAAAGAAGGAATGAAATCATTCTAGAAAGGAATTATAACCAAGGATAAGATCTACTTGTTGCCTTTTATGATTCTTCCAGAGCTTTATTTTAGGTAACAGAGGGCTGATGACAGGCTAATTTATTGGCCTTAATACCCTCCCTCAAACTATGTTGGGGTCGTAGACAAAGACATAGTTTGGTCCGAAAGAAACTAAGCACGCTTTTCGGCAATGACTTTGTAAAAATGTCAGCGACTTGGAGTTGCGTCGGAATATGTTTGGTGATGAGCTGCCCGACTGCAACTTTTTCACGAACAAAATGATAGTCCAGTTCAATATGCTTACTACGAGCATGAAACACTGGATTAATTGTCATATGGAGCACACTAATGTTGTCACAATGGAGGACTGGTGTCGAAGTTAATGAGACATGTAGATCTTGTAGGACAAATGTCATCCAAGTAAGCTCAGCGGCAGTATGAGCCATGGCACGATATTCAGCTTCTGTACTTGAACGGGAGATTGTATGCTGCTTTTTGGCACACCACGAAATAGGATTGCTACCAAGGAACGTGCAAAAGCCTGTAGTAGAGCGTCGAGTAACCTGACAGCCAGCCCAATCTGCATCGACATAAGCACTAAGATCAAGTGTTGTGTGGGAAATAAGATGTAGGCTAAGATGAATAGTACCTTTCACATAACGTAGGATACGACGAACAATTTTTAGATGAGATGTGCAAGGTTGATGCATAAATTGAGATGCATAGTTAACACTATACGTAAGGTCAGGTTGTGTAAGTGTTAAATATTGAAGAGGTCCAACAAGACCTCTATACATGCTCGGATCATCGAGAGGGGAACTAGTCTCATGAACTTTATTTTTTATTTCTAAAGGAGTGGACATTGGTTTGCAATCTGTCATGCTGGCTCGTTCTAAAATGGAAAGCGCGTAGTGTGATTGAGAAAGATGCAAACCTTGTGTAGTTTTTGAAACTTCAATGCCTAAGAAATGATGAAGTTCACGAAGGTCTTTCATAGCAAATTCATGGCTTCGTAATTTAATAAAAGAATTAACTAATGAGATATTGGATCCAGTAAGAAGAATATCATCCACATATAATAATAACACAAGTGTACCATGATAAGAATGTAAAATAAAAAGAGAAGGATCAACTTTGCTGCAAAAAAAAACCATACTTTATCAAAAAGGTGCTGAAACGATCAAACCAAGCAAGAGGTGCTTGTTTGAGGCCATATAGTGCTTTGTGAAGTTTACAGACATAATGAGGATATTTGGAGTCTTTCATACCTGGAGGTTGTTGCATATAAATAGCTTCAGAGATATCTCCATGGAGAAAGGTGTTTTTGACATCCAGTTGGTGGATTTGCCATTGCTTAGAGAGTGCAACAGTTATCACCAAACGAATTGTCTCGGGTTTGATCACAGGTGAGTAAATTTCATTATAATCAACTCCATCTTGTTGATGATAACCTTTAGCTACTAGACGAGCTTTAAGTCGATCTAAAGAACCATCCGATTTTAATTTTGTTTTAAATATCCATTTTGATCCAATAATATTCATATGGGTGGATGGTGGAACTAAAGACCATGAGGAATTTTGATTGAGTGCATCAAGTTCCTCTTTCATAGCATCAGACCATCCAGGATGTTTAAGAGCATCACGTATATTGGTCAATTCTCGAGGGACAGTTCTTGAGAGAGTCATGGTTAGTGCGTACTTTGGGTTAGTCTTAAGGATACCTACTTTAGACCGGGTGAGCATAGAATGCTCAGAGTGACGAGGTTGTGGGGAGGTTTCAATTGACGAGGAAAGAACTGAAGGAGGTTCGTCGGAGGATGGTGGCGGGGCGGTTGAGGGTAAATTTGAATCTACAGCTCGTGGTCAACGATGGTAAACTCGAATTTGTGGCTTATTCGACAAAGAAGTCTGTAAAGGCGAAGTATGTAGGGTAGGATTATCTGGAAGTTGCTGTAGGCAAAGCGGGTGTAGCGTTAGGTTGTGTGGTGCTTGTAGGCGTGGATGAGTTATCATGGAGATGACCTGCATCTGGAGTAGTATTTGGAGGTAGCGAAAAAGATATGTTAATAAAGTTAGAGTCATTTGTGACACTACCGGAGGTTGAGTCTGGCAAAAGGAAATTGTTAGTTGTAGGTAACCAAGAATCAAAAATACTATTCACACGATCAGTGTTAATTTTGAAAGAAATGCGCTCTTTATAAGGAAAACGTAATTCGTCAAAGACCACATGCCGTGAGATATATATTTTTTTACTCGGTGAATGAAAACATTTGTAGCCTTTAAATTGATCACTATATTCTATAAAAACACAAGGAATGCTTTTAGGATGAAACTTATTTTTCCGAGTATCCCAAGTATACGGAAAGCACTTTGAACCAAAAACACGTAAAGAGCTATATGTGGGGTGAGTGCCGTGTAATATGAAGTGAGGAGAATTAAAATTAAGCGCGGAAGAGGGTAACCTATTAATGAGGTAAACAGCCGTTGAGAATGCTTCTACCCATAGAGAAAGAGGAGCACCACTATGAAATAACATGGTCATGCCTAATTCTCGAATCATGCGATGCCTCCGTTCAACCATACCTGTTTGCTCAGGTGTATATGGACACGATTTATGATGAATAATACCAGAAGACAAAAAATGTGTCAACAATCGTTTATTGACAAACTCACCTCCACCATCAGAATGAAGTATTTTGATTTTTTTGTTAAATTGCCGATCAACATACCGTTCAAAGTTGATAAATGCATCAAATAAATCAGATTTCAATCGTAAGGGAACAATCCATATGTATTTGGAAAAGTCATCAACAAAACATGCTTAATAACGAAAGGAACCAAGTGATAAAACTGGAGCTGGACCCCATAAGTTGCAATGAATTTTTTCAAAAGGATCACTACTTGAATGCTAAGGGAAATTTACTAAGTTTTCCTAGTTGACAACTATCACAAACGTGCTCATTTTTTGTTGGCCCTGTGACATGAATAAGGTTATTATTCTTGAGATTAAGTAATGTAGAGTGTTGTGGATGTCCTAAACGCTGATGCCAAATATTAGACGAGCCAGACTTGAAACGGTGAGAGAAATTTAACTCTAGTTGATTGGAAAGGACATAAAGATTTTCCTTACGCCTTCCTTTTATCAACGGTTCGCCTGTTTTCCTGTCCTTAACACAAAAATCTTTATCAGTAAAATCACAATTGAGAGGATATTCATAAGTGAGTTGACTAAATGACAACAATTTTTTCTTTAGACTTGGAACATATAAAACATTATTTAACGATAAACTGAAGTTATGTTGATGCACCAGTATCAGACGTCCATTCATTATCGGCAACACTCGTATCCAATGTAAGCGCAGCCAGTGCTTGTGGTAAGTCATCTGACCCCTTTGATGGCTTTGGAATCCACCAACAAATTTTTGCAATATGCCCTGTTACACCACAATATTGGCATGTCTCATCTCGATAAAGATCTCTTTCAGTTTGCGACATACGTCGTTGTCCAGGAGGTGGTGGTTTTTTTGGTTGACGGCTGAATTTCCAGGATGAGAGAGATTTTTTGGTTGTTGTGCTATAAAACCCCGTCCTGATGATGTGAACTTGGAGGGTCCTCCTTGACGTTTTTGGTGTTGTCCGAAGAAAGCCATTTGGGCATTAAAAGAATTGATACCCATGTCGATGTTGTTCATCCAACTACGTCTTTGGTCAAAATTTTGTAGTTGTGCCACTACAGTGTAAGTGGGTCGGGGAGGTTTCAACATAGTTTTAGTGAAAGTTTCATATTGCGGGCCAAGGCTAGTGAGCAAGTAAAATACCTTTTCTTTGTCAAGAACGGGTTTTCCAATGGCTGCTAAATTGTCACACAGACCATTGAAAGTACGAATACGGTCTGCAATGGATTTGTCATCATTGTGAATTCTCTCTTGAGAGTCTTGTGCGTAGGCATCTTTGAGGGCTTCCCAGACACCGAACGCTGTATCTACTCCAATGACCAAGCCGAGTGCTTCTTCCGATAATGTACCAATTAGCCAACCCCGCAAAAGGCGGTCAGCTTTTTTCCAAGCGACGAACTCTTTTGTTAATTGTGGTGTGAATTGTTCGGCTTCTAAAGTGTTATTTGGAGTGGTAAATTTTGATGGTGCCGAGTTTTCATCTGTCAGATGTTCAACCAACTCTTGGCTTTCGGCAAGGGCTAAAGCCTGTTCTCGCCATAGAGGGTAGTTTGTTGGAGTGAGTTAGAGTGTAATGAAGTTGCCGACGTTTAGGGATAAAGAATTCATGATTGGTTGGATTTTGTTTTGTGCTTGTGTTCACTGGCTCTGATACCAAGATAAAAGAGAAGGGAATGTCTCGTGAAAGAGATTTTATTAAAGAAGATACAAAAGAACGATGAACACAAGCTATCTTATTTCTAACTATACAAGGTCTCTTATAGAGATATGTCCAACGGTAAAAAGATTACAAAGAAGGAATGAAACCATTCTAGAAAGGAAATATTATAACCAAGGATAGGATCTACTTGTTGCCTTTTATGATTCTTCCAGAGCTTTATTTTAGGTAACAGAGGGCTGATGACAGGCTGATTTATTGGCCTTAATAAGTACAACTATGGAGAATTTAATGTTTTTAAGGCTATTGGGATCCTTATGCCATCAACGAAGAGCTGGATTCTTCCTCTATTTATTCTGGTTTTAGAACTTATTTTTTCTGGTTCTAATTATTTGTCGTCCGTTATTATGTGGCTGTTCATCCTTTTCAAGTCTGATGTTGTCACTGACACGTGTTTGATGTTTTGATCTTGCTCCATACCGCTGAAGTGGTTCTATGCTCATATTCATGGCTAATGTGATTCTTTTTTAGCTTTGCAGGAACTTGATTAATATTCTGGCAGAAGTTTCTCAGACAGGAAAACAAAGGCACATTCCTTATAGAGATTCAAAGCTGACTTTTCTGTTACAGGAATCTCTAGGGGGAAATGCAAAGTTGGCAATGATATGCGCCATTTCTCCATCTCAAAGGTCATATGCAATGCGTATTATTTAGAGATTCCAGAGAAAAAGAATCTTTACGAAGTATCACATACATTTTGCCAGCCCCCACCCCCCATCTGTAATAAGCTATAAGTTTGTTTGTCTTGACTGAAAAATCTTGAATTTTAGTTGTCATCTTCAGTTAATGGCCGATGGTGTATACTTAGAGTGGCTACCGAGGGTGAAAGGTTAATGAAGCAAGTTGAGGGAGGAGTAGTAGCATAAAAATGAAGCGATTGAACAGGATCTTTTAGTTGTTGCTAACTTTTCCTTTAATGTAAATCAATTTGTCCAGTCTAGTAATAACTAATAAGTATAGACTTATAATGGAACTTTGGTGTTTTAATAAATATTTCCGGCACTGTTTAGTTGAATGGGTTATAATCTGATTATGATTCCTATAAACATGTCTCCCTGCTTCATGATGTGACACTTTGTTGATGACTCTGAAATTACATTTTGCAGCTGTAAGAGCGAGACTCTCAGTACTTTAAGATTTGCGCAACGAGCCAAAGCAATCAAGAATAAAGCGGTTATTAATGAGGAAATGCAGGAAGATGTAAATGTCTTGAGAGAAGTGATTCGGCAGTTGAGGGATGAACTGCACAGGATGAAGGCCAACAACCATGATCAAACCGGTCAAAATGGGGCTTATGCTACTGGATGGAACGCCAAGAGAAGTTTGAATCTTCTGAGATTTAGCCTGAATCGGCCAATGATGACTATTACTGAAGATGATAGTGATGAAGAAATGGAGATAGTGGATGCAGATGAAGAAATATTAGCAGCTCCTGAGGAAAAATGCCCGTTATCACCTGAACAAGGATTTGGTGGTACAGATGGTAATAGTGAAGATGAAGCAGTTGAAACAGTTGAAAGGGATAAATCCAGTGTAATTGGTGATGATGGGCTAATGGGAAGACATGAAGAAATGTTTCACGAAAGTAGGTCAAAGATAGTACATGGTAATGATGATTGTACACAGTCAGAAGATGAAGAATGCACTTCCTCTGATTCTAGAAAATTGCCAGGCAGTGACCTATCTAAGAAGCCAGTGGAACAATGTTCATTAATTCGGCTTTCTGCTGGCATGGTGAATACATCAGAGAAATCCACCAACTGCATTAAAGATGCTTCTGACCTTAGTATTGTTCCAATTGATTTGCCCCCTGTTCTGAAGTTTCCTTCCCCTAGTGTCTCGCCAAAACCGAACAGTTGCAGGAAAAGTCTTAGGACCTCATCAACAGTAACAGCTTCCCAGAGTTTTCCTACTCAGAGTAACTTGAAGGCTGTAAGAGCATCCATGGCAAAGCCTTCTTCTAGTAACTTCTGTTTGTATTCTCTCTCCAATCGCAATTCTTGTTTTGCATCAACCGATCATTTGGCCGAAACTCTTCATCGTGGTCTTGAAATTATCGAGAGTCAACGCCTCAGTCCTGCACTGAGACAATCATCATTTAGATTCTCTTGCATGCCGAAGGATGTTAAAGCAGTTATTCCAGCTGCGAAAGTTGATGTTGGTGTCCAAACTCTTTTTCATGATGACCAACTAATGGACAACGGCACCATGGAACAACTATGTAGTAAATGCATGATCACAACTGACCAGCAGGGGCTCTTAAATGATGATGACCAAAATTTACAGTTATTCCCTGTCAATGGGTCCCCTTCAAATGATATGTCCCACAAGAAAGTTCCCAAGGTATTTCAGCTAATTATGGGTGAGACTTCCTTTCCTTTTGTCAACTCTTATCATGTCCATTATATCATTGTTTAGGCAGTAGAAAAGGTTTTGGCTGGAGCTATTCGGAGAGAAATGGCATTAGAAGAGATGTGTGCCAAACAAAACTATGAGATCATGCAACTTACTCGTTTGGTAAGTTTAAGTAATGGAACAACCTACTATTTGGATTTAAAGTTAAATTTCTTATGATTTATGTTCTTGCATGACCACAGGCCAAGCAGTACAAACATGAGAGAGAGTGTAACGCAATAATTGGTCAAATTCGTGAAGATAAAATTGCTCGACTTGAGCGCCTGATGGATGGAATATTACCTACTGAGGAGTTCATGGAGGAGGAGCTCGTATCCCTAACTCATGAACATAAGGTATAACTTATACATAATTTTAAAGTCTCATAAAAAGAAGTCTTTCTGCTCATCTATCTAATTGTCATATCAAAATTGCAGATTCTTCAGGAACAGTATGATAACCATCCTGATGTTTTGAGAACAAAAATAGAATTGAAAAGAGTTCACGATGAATTGGAAAGACATCAAAATTTCTTTGACTTGGGTGAGAGGGATGTTCTGTTGGAAGAATTACAAGATTTAAGAACTCAGCTGCAATCTTACTTGGACTCTTCAGGGAAGACGTCAAAAAGACAAACCCCTCTTTTAAAACTAACAACTTCACATGAGGCAGGTGCATTGTCTACTCACACCACTAATTCAGGTTTAATAGATAATGCCAAAGAGAGACTTGGGCAGGAGAGAATCCAGTGGACTGAAACCGAGAGCAAATGGATTTCCCTAGTGGAGGAACTTAAAACAGAAATTGAAGCCAATCGATCTACTGTTCAAAGGCAAAAGCAAGAGCTGGACATAGAAAAGAAGTGTTCCGAAGAGCTTAAAGAAGCAATGCAGATGGCAATGGAAGGTCATGCACGCATGCTTGAACAATATGCCGAGCTTGAAGAGAAACACATTCAACTGCTTGCCAGACATAGGAATATTCAAGACGGTATTGATGATGTGAAGAAAGCTGCAGCAAAGGCAGGGGTAAGAGGTGCAGAATCTAAATTTATAAATGCCCTAGCCGCAGAAATCTCAGCCTTGAAAGTGGAAAGGGAAAAAGAGAGAAGATATTTCAGGGACGAAAATAAAGGACTTCAAGCCCAACTGAGGGATACTGCAGAAGCTGTTCAGGCTGCTGGGGAATTACTTGTTCGACTGAAAGAAGCAGAAGAAGTCGTGGCTGCTGCAGAGGTGAGCTTGGACTTGATTAATAAAGTGCCTAATTGATGTTCCATTGTAACTTATATTCCAAATCTTGATTAAAGTATTTTAATATGGTAAAAAAAAAAAAATTAACTTTGATGTCCAACCAAAGTGCAATAATATATCTCTCGTGGCTATCTTCCACCATTGTCAATGAGTAATCATAAGTTCAGTCCTATATTGTTCGAACACATGGTTTGAGAGCTTGTTTTCTCTGAACCATATAGGTTGGTCTGACATGGATAAAAGGATCCAGAATTTATAGGGACATAGAAGAATTTAGATTTTCATAATACGTGTTATATATAATATTGCCAATTTTGGCACATTTGCTGCGGTTACTTTGGCATTGTGAAATAAAAATAATCAAAACTTGAAACATCAAACTTGCAAGTATATAGAGTGATACAAAATAAATTAACTAGCTGGGGGGAAAATGAAAGTATACAGCATTTCATGTGTTTTACTGCTTAGGCATATTCTTGACATATGACACGTGTCCCATGCTGTAATCTTGTCTACATTGGTATCTCCATAAATGAAGAATCCGAGCAATATAGGTATTGGCCGTTTGGCCTTAGTCCTAATGCTTGTTCTAGGATCTCTCCTTGGTTCATCCTTACTACACCTCAGAAAATAGTCCATAAAATGTATGTTTCCTTGTTTACTAACGTAATATTGAGTATTTTCTAGCTTGCACATTTACATAATTATCAAGTTAAAGAAGTTTATTATTTATATCTTCCCTTCTGGAATATTTTTTACTTTGTTTAGATATAAAGATTCATTTTCCGATCATGCTTTGGATGTCTCATTTTTTATGGGACACAAGAAATCACTAACCAAGAAAGTAGTAAACTGTGTTGGTCCGAAATCACTAACCAAGAAAGTCGTTAATTTCGTTAAAATTTTCTTGACACTACCTTAGCATTGTATGCTATGTTTAATGGGATGATGACGATTCCTGTTTTTTGATTGTAAATGAATATTTTTTTTCCTTGGAACGTCTGTTAAAAAAATTCCTTATTGGTTCGTGATGAAAATCTTCAAATTTTATCATTAACTTTTCCTTATATGATTATTATGATGTTGTGCTGATCTTTCAGTCGACATTATTTGCAATGGTAACATCAATGAGATATGCTCAACTTTTCACTTAATGTGTAGAGACGAGCTGTAATGGCAGAACACGAGACTGAGAATGCTTACAAAGAGATAGAGAACTTGAATTCGTTGTTGGCAGCCCCTCACTTGCTTAAAAATGAATTTTCTGCTGAGAGGAATGGGGGCAGTACTGATGATGAGCACTGTGGAGAGGAATTTGCTCCATCTTATGGTGTTGCAGAAGAGCCATCGTCATGGTTCTCTGGCTATGACCGTTGCAATGTATAGTTTATTTCTTATTTTCTTTTACTATTGTTGTATGTAGTTACAGTCTGTCACATGATATATGAAGTTCTCTAGGGAAAATGCCGTAGAACAATATGTCTCACCAGATGTGAGGAGTAACTGTTCATTTGTATTCAAAATGTGAACGCCCACATAAAGATTCAGCTATTTTCAGCTTGGGAAAATGAAAACGAAAATTCTTTTATCCTTGGTTTCTTTTCATATGGGACATTTTCTGGAGCAAATTTATCTATCTATTCTATACTACTAGTACAGAGCCCGTGCGATGCACGGGATGCACAATTTTAAGGCTATTTATCCAGACTTATAATTATATACATACGTGACCCGTGCGAGGCACGAGATATATTTATTTGAGGAATACTATATTATAAGATGCAATATTCAATAAAAGTTTTATAATACGCAGGAAAATTATACAATAAGATAGCAATCATATATTATTAAAGACCACCTTGTACACAACATTATGAGTTTGATTTTCCATACAATAATAATAAGATTTTTTGTAAAAAGATAAGAAGAAATTTTCAATCTACACAAACTTTAAACATTAGATGTATTAACGTAAATCATTGACTATATAGACAACTAAACCCTTCAATTTAGGCTTGACATCTACTTTATTTATGGGTGACGTAAAATAAGGATTTAATTTTAACCAATTAAATCTTTATTCATAGGCTTGACATATAAAACTGATTTGATGGGATTTTCTTAACTAAACCGATGCTATGGGATAAAACAAATGTATACTTACCTTTGACTTTTTCAGTAAAGGCAAAAAAATTGGTTCTGATTTTTATCTCATAACAAATCTTTAATGTCAAGCCTATAAATACCAAAACAAATTGTAATTAGTATCATTCTATTTCCAGCAAGCATTAATTACATTTGACTTTTCTGCCTACTATTTCTAGTAAAAGATTTCATATAATGCAAAGACTGAGATCATAAAAAAGAATCCTAAAAATTGAAACAATATATTTGCATAATTTAAGGCCATTAAGAAATCGATCTCTAAACCAGATTTGATTTTCAGAATATGTTTTTTCATTTCGAATTCCATACAAAATGGAATTCTTTCCAACCAATAGATGTCATAGCAAATATTAACTCTTAACTATTAGACTATTAGTACATACCGAGCAAATTGTGTACTGATTTTAGAAAGTTAAAATGATTCATGTTAGGTAATTTTACATTTTATGCATGTTGAACGGTGGGTTTTAAATACTGTTTCATAGAATGTAAAAGTGTATTATATTATTTTTATGAGATGTTGAATTTGAAAATTAATAGAATTCTTCTTCATAGGAATTTTAAATGTAACAATATTCTTCGGTATACACTACTAATAAAATTTATATTTACAGTTTATATTTTTTTTTCCAGAAAAAATTTCTTAATTTAAGAAATCATATATCTTCAATCAGTCCACATCTATATACATTCTTCACAATTTTAAATCTTGAATTTGATGCGAATTCGTATCTATGAGTGCAAAATATGGTTTAACAAATTAATTTTTTATTGTTATTCCAGCCATACTTCGTTATACGATTTTTTGTGAAAATACAAAAGTAAATTCTTAATTTTAAATCAGTCGTACATTGAAGAGTACAAATTTGTTGAAATTACAAAAGTAATTTTTTACTTTTAAACAGACGTAAATTTAAATCAGTCATAAAAAAGTAATATTTGTTTACCATTTAAATATTAAATCAACCGTAATTAATGTTGTTTGTTTTAGTTGACACGATTTTCTCCAAACTAAATTAACAACTACCATGATTTAAGGGCAACATCTAATGCTGCTCTATTTTTAGGAGACATTAAATGTATTTGGCGGAAAAAACTTGCTAAAAGTGTTAAATGGTTAATCTTTTAATATAATGATAGATTCTAAAAGGACGAGTGGTTTTATAAAAAAAATGAACTACCTAAAAGACTCGTACTTTGATATAATTTTAATGTCAAATTAGTAATACATTAATCACATCATATCTTATATTTTTAATTAATAATTAATATTTAATTAATTAAATACAAATACACGAACAAAACATGTCACATCTAGTAAAAATCATTTCTTACGAATTCGCTTTCTTCCACATATCTCTCAAACTGTTTTCTTCCATATATTTCAAGAATCAACCCAAACAACAAAGTTTTACACTGATATATAGTTGTTTTGAAAAACGTCATTATTATTAGCAATTTTAATGGTAAAATTATAATCACATTAAATAATTCTAATATATAAAAATTCTTAAAAGAAACTGATCCAACAAAAATAATAAATAATTACTTATAAAAAAACTGAATCCAACAAAAACAACATAATAATATATTTTCAATTATGTATTTCCCTATCTATAATTTTAACAAAATTGTAAATCTTGATAAATAAAAAAAAAACAAAAAAACAAAAAAGTGATAATTTAGTTGAGGGGTAACTTGTATATAGTGAATAATTTCAAACTTACATACTTAACTCTAATTATAAGAAGATATCTAAAATTTACCGAAAACATGCACACGTGAAATATATACATAACCTAACAAACTAGAAAAGTAGAACAAATTTTTTAACTACATTATTTAAGAAAAATAAACTCTTGTATTTAGAATTATATATAGAAATTGTACCTTAGTCTTATTAGATTGAATTTTGATTCCACAAGAATCATCATTATTTGTTTGTTTGTTTGTTTCTTTTTTTCAATTTTGGTCCCAGAGTAAATTGATGAATTTTCACCAAACTATTAGCTAGTTAATATCAAGGTGAGTAATATTTTAGTTATGAACACTTATAAAATTTTTCATTCAATAATTAATTAACTAAAATATATTATGATATTTAAATTATTATTACTTTATTGATGAACTGATTTTTAAGATGGCGCTAAATAAACAATAAGAATTAAAATTTTTATATATTCAATATTTTATTTATTGATTTTATCTTAAGAATCTTGAATGTTTTTATGGTTTTCTCATTACATTTGAGAGTTTATTTGACCATAAGTATCGTATCAAATATGATAATTCTTTCAATAATATTTATTTAATTTTGTAAATTTAGTAATAACTATAAGTAAAAAATTTAAAATCGATATTGCTTGTCCTCATAACGACCACAAAGTATAGAAACATTAATTTTCAAAATAACCTATGAAAAAAATATAAACTGTGTTATAGTATGATAGGTTAATTGTTGAATGATTATTTTGCAACCTAAACTTCTAATCTACTTAATATCTTTGCTTAAAATAATATTAGAATAATTTTATGAAACTATATAATACTAAAACTATTTGTTTTTACGTCAAATAAATGCCACTTGAGCAGCATGATTTAGTTTTGATCATATGATTATCTACAAATTAATTAAGAATATCTCAAGAAGCATGATATGTCTATACATGTTGAGTATATTAATTAATTTTTACTTGGAAATTTTATTGACATATTAACATTACTCATCTATCTATGGTAGTATTATAATTAAAATAGAGTTTTTATTTAAGCTGTACGAAATAAAAAAATTATATATTTGAGTATAATATTAATATGAAAATTGTAATTATATGTAGTATAATATAAATATATAAAATTAATTGATAAATAAGAAGACATATGACCCAAAAAGTTTTATACATAATTTGATGCATTTTTTAGAAAATCTAAAAGTTATAACTAAATCGTAACAGTTAATAATAACTATGAAAAAAATAAATAAAAATGTTATTGATACGTCACCTTTGATCACGATCGGGTTGAACACTTTCCACATTGCGAATCCTCCTTCTTGAGCTTCCGGTAACCGAAATGCGAAGGGAGGGGGGTCCTGGCGAAAAACTCTCTGACGCTCAAGTTAGAACTCACTCAACTACGACTGTACAAAATATATAGAATAAAGCATGGATTGTGTGTTGTGTAATTAGAGAGAACCTGTCATCCTTTTATAGGACTCAGTACCTTGGAGCCGAAGAGTTCTTGTTAGGGAATATATCCACTCAGATTCTACTTTCATAACTTATCACGTCTCTATCTTGGCAAGAGTCCTTGAACAAATAATTCTTTCCTTATTACTTGGATTCTTCCCCCTTTTTACTGTTTTAGCCCAGGGATCCTTAGACTGTAATCCCGACCTCCAATCCTGTCTGTTATGGCCTTTCCGAGGACGTCCATGACCTTGTCCTGAGGTCTGATCTGACCTCGCCTTTAGGTCTAACATGTCCCCAGACCACCCGACCTCGATGCACACCCAGGTCGGCTACTTTATCGGGCTCCTGGAGGCCGATACCTCCAAGTCGTGTCTGTTCTATAAGCTCGACACCTTAAACCCGTATCCGAGCTACTTGGCCCAACATCTCTCCTATATACCTATGGGAGTTCTCCTAGCTCGGCCGTAACCTTTCTCTCTCAGACCGATGTGTTGGATTACTTTCGGGTGCTACATCATCTAGCCTCCCCTCCCCCCCTCCCCCCCTAAATTCAGTACGAGCTAACCGGTCTGAAATGGACTCGTATGTTTGTGACTTTGTATTTGGCTTTTTTCTTTTATCCAATGTATCGAGTAATTTTGAGAGAGGATGCTCGAACCCTGCCCTTCCACGTGGACACGTCTTACCAAATTCTAAGCGAGATTCTAAGCCCTTGATTTAGGCATTCCTAACGGTCGGATTTGTCTTCCTTGATGTGTCTTATAAGAACGTACCTTTCTTTCGCCACCTCTACACTTCCTCAGTACTTTCTCCTTACATATTTTAAGAAATTACTTTCGTGCTTAAACTCTCACGCGGCTTACGAACTCCAGACTTCATTGACTTCACGCTCTAACAGCTTGATGAGTATGTTATGAACTTCTTCTCTCTTCACATCTTTTATTCTTTCGACATCGATTTTCATTTTCTATTTCTCTTCAACAAAAACCACTAAGGTCGGACTTCCTTCTACCATGTCTTCTTCCACATCTTTTTCTCAAAACTGTCTAAATTCTTTGATTGACAATTTTCGATTCTTCAAGCCACTTTGAGAGCCGCTATTCCAATTTTTTCCCATCGGCTTGCCAAGGTGACTGTTGTCGAGAGCGCCCAGGCCATCCTTTCTTTTGACTTAGTCCAGGTCGAAAGACCTATTCCGTCATCCGTCTGGTCTGATACCGACTTGATGCTCTTCAAACACTCATGTGAGGGCTTTCAAGTGTTGTTCGTAGACCAGGTGTACGTTGGTCTATCATTTCCTCTAAAATCTAATCTTTTAGAGCGATCTCGGCTCTACAAAGTCCCTCTAAATTACTTTGTTCCTAATGCCATTCGTTTTACGGCGGGCTTTTCCAACATCAGCCGCTGCATCCTTCAATCACTTAATCTGAACTTCTTTTTTTACCCTTTTTTACCGTTACTGGATGAAACATCAAAAGAGTCCATTCTACTTGTCTTGTCGTAATAATGCCAACTTCCTTGTTAATTTGCCTTTGAGCAATCCATCTTGGCAGTCAAAGTATTTCTTCGTTAAATCTCCTCCTACAACATTCCTCTACGCCTCCGCACCCTTATACGGATGGATCAGATTGGATACCCATCGTTCAGATTTGGACAGTCGGACTTGCATTTTGGGACCTCTACCACACTGTGATGCTGACTCTTTCGCCGGGACTCTCCCCGGACCAGGATCTGTTATCTTTGTATTTCGTTGTCAGCTTTTCCTTGTATTTTTCCTTACTTTTGCTTTTTATTTCTTATTTTATTTTTCGTTTGACTTGATGTATTAGACATTGGACTCGTAGCTTTGTGACTTTTCAGCCCATTTAGGTCATATTTATATACAGGTTGGGGGTTCGGCCTTAACCCTCCTTGGGTGGTGTTTGAAAAAAAAAAAANATCTCCTCCTACAACTTTCGGCTTTTCTTCCAAATGGATTTACGAGAAACCTGTTCAGCATCCGTCCCCAAACCCAAGCAGGCCTATAGAGACTTGATCAAGAAATTGAACGAAACTCCTTACTATCTCACCCTTCTTACCGACGACCCTCACTACACCGACGAAGAGACCTCGCTCAAAGAATATGGAAGCGTCTCTGAAGCTGGGAGCGGACGAGATCTTCTTGGGACCCACCATAGCTGAGGTACCTCCGAGGCCAAAGGTGGCCAAGTCTTGCGCAGCTACTATTCTACAGATACCTCCAAGGTTGGCGACCGCCAATCCACCTACCTCCTCTCTATCTTCCCCGAGGTGAGAGACAAACCGGTGGCGCTGAGACTAGCAGGCGTGCACGCATGTGACTAAAGTAACACCTACACTCAATTTATAACTTAAGTTATTGTGGCCTTTTCGACTTTCTTTATTATAATAAAGAAACTTATATTCGTTTAAGAATTGGGGTATAGGTCTCTTCACTCTTTCAAATCAAACAACCAACTTTTAATGCATGTTATATGACTACGTATAATTATTTATTTCATATTCGCCGATAACTAGTTTTAAAAAAATACTAACATTCTAGTCTGTGTACATGCACAATTGCAATAAATTTTATACATTGTGTTTTATGTAAAATTTAAAAATCATAAATTAGATAATGAGCATATCACATTTATAAATTTTATCATTACTAAAATGTCGATTTAAATATCAACTATTTGACTTGCATATTAATCTTTAAATTTATGCAATCTTGATTGATTATGAAATTAATTAGATAAAAAAAATACTGAAATTATTATTATAACAATTGTGTACAAAACTTTAAAGGGTTTGGTTATGCCATAAAAAATAATTAACTATTTTAATAATAAAAAAATTTGCTTGATGAGGTAAAAAAATATTAATAATAATTTTAAATATATGGTTTGAAATAAGCTTTAAAATAGAATATCATTTAATACCCCTTCATTATTAGTTAATAGTAGCAATTTTGTAATAAAATAAATAAAAAATATAATTGTGATTAATGCAAAATTAACTGAAAAAAGCGAGAAAAAAAAAGTTTATTAATTGTTTTTCTAGCAATATATATATATATATATATATAGAGAGAGAGAGAGATATATATACCTACTAATAATATAATAAGATTTTTTCTACACAATTTAATTTAACAGTAATTAAATTTTTTAGTGTATAAAAATCAATCAAAGCAGGGTGAACCCCATTAATTGTTTGTAACTGACTTGTCAACTAAGTCCCAGTAGCAAAAGACTTGTTGTAATGGATGGTCAAATTATTCATTGATTTATTTCATAAAGGAAGGCAAATTTTAAGCGGAACAAACGTACGTGCATAAAGTAGCATTATGTATCTATACTAACATAAAAATATTGTTGAAAAAATACATAAATAGTAACTTTGACTTTTTAATTAAATGTTTAACTTACTATTATAAGAAATGTTTTTAAAAATACTAAATTAGGAAAAAACAAGGAGCAAACCAATTTCATATACTGTTTTTTAGGAAAAAAAAATGGTATGTATTTAAAAAATGGATGTTCCTTATCCTTTTTCTTTTTTCTTATTTAACCACTTTTTCAATCATTTGGTGAATAAATTTCAAATTAATTTTCTTGGTAAAATTATGGTGCACCTTTTTCAATGGTTTGTTGAACGATCTCATTTCCCACATAATTTTGGCAAAATCCAATTCTCATATTATACTTTCAAAATAATATATTCATCTATTCATAGAAAACTCGATTTTCAAAATGAGATTAGATTTTTGGTAAATAATTCCGATAAGATTTATTTGGTAAAAACACGTGAATATACCATGATAATCTGTATTTTAGTAACATCCTATTCGTGTTTTCATCCAAAAAGTATTTAACAAAATTTGCAATTTTGGAGCAAATATTTTATTTTGAAACATCTATAACATATTCTTTATGGCATTCAATTTAGGAAAATATAATATTTACTTTTGAGTAAGAATAATTTCTAAAAACGCGTGAATATACCATGATAATCTATATTTTTGGTAACATCCTATTCGTGTTTTCATAAAAAAAATATTTAACAAAATTTACAATTTTGGAGCAAATAATTTATTTTGAAACATCCATAGCATATTCTTTATGACATTCAATTTAGGAAAATCTAATATTTAATTTTGAGTAAGAATAATTTCAATTAAATAACGCATCAGTACAGTCTTAACTGAAAATGTACAGTTATATCAAAAATAATTTGATATGGAAATGCATCAATATTCAATACAACCAAAATATAAAAAATTTGATCTTTATTTTACATGGCAATATATCATTCCAATATTCACCATAAGTAAATGAGAATATGAAAAAATATTATCAAATATACTTATATATTATTTCATGAGAAATTTTAATTTATAAATATTAATAAATATTTCTTACCCGTGCGATGGATTCGTACTAGTTAGTAAAAGACAGACCTGGTGGTGCACAAAATAGCAACTGACAAAATATTCAAGATTCTATTTCCAATTACACGCAAAAGTACTAGACATTGTCCAATTGTAACGACTGGAGTTCGTAAGTATCCTTCGTTGACAAAATTTGTACAAACCTAACAGACAAGTTGTGCAGATGTTGAGTCTATACTAATCATCAAATGTGCTCATGAAACCACCAATAAACCCAGCACCATTGCAATTACCACATAGAATCTCCTTTTTGCCCCTGCGAAAGAGTCGGCATAACGTCAAACGCCAAAGAGATGATTTATTTTGACATTGATGCAGTAAAAGAAATTGAGAACTTCTACTATCCATATAAGTACCATGGCCATAGCATTAGCAGCAAGCATAGGACAAGGGACCAACAAAATATATATATTGTAAAAAATACAAAACTCAAGGAATAAAATTGAACCTAATAACTAATTAAGGTAAATCATATTGGTTTATTTTGAATATACTTTCAAATTAAGTGATTCATGATGTAATGAATAAATTATTGTATAAAAAATATCATGTACACACAATATGACCGTCGTGGACAAGGATATATGTATGCATGTTACTTAATCCACGGTCAATGTTATTCGAACGTAATTGGTGAAAAAAACAGCTAGAGTATTAGCATTTGGAAGTAACATAATGCGAATTTAAAATATCAATCATCTTTCTCATTCTGAAAACATGTACATGTTGTGGACCACTTTTGTCTGCACGAACGCTATTTACCTCTCACTACAAATAATATATCTGAAAATTATATTTCTAGGGTATAATTTAAAGATATATTGAGGCTTCACTGGAGATCTAGCAGATAGAGATATAGCAGGTTGAACTTCGTTTCTATTTGAAACTCCAAGTACAATGATCAAAACAAAAAGAAAGAAAAAATATACCTGCAGAGCCAGCACATGTTTCCAGCTTTGAACTGGCCGTTAAAGTGATCTACTGAATTGACTCCAGTGCCTTGGCATTGCGTACATTTTTTAGCACCTAAAAGTTGTACAAGAAAGAAGGGATTTTGTTTCTTACTTATCTGGAAACCTGATAGAAAGGAAATTAATAATACAGAGTTATACAGATTTTGGAGTCTAGCATTCAGGAGTTATTGCTTCTAGAGGTTTACAAAACTATTAGCAAAGCTTTTGTTAAGAATGGTAAGACTAAAACTCCATTTCATGAGAAAATAATATCAATTAATTTCTTGTTAAGAATGGCCATAATAGTGCATTTTAAACAAATAAAAGAACTGGTTAGTGTTACGTGAGAACAAGAAAGGTCTCCCCAGGAAAGAGTACTCTTAAAAATAAATGGTTAGTGTTATGTGATTTTAAGACTACAAACATCTACTAATAGTCATTTTAAGACCTATTTTACATAACTTTATTAACATAATCACATAATGTAACCATTCAAGCCATATTTAGGAGAAAACGAGGACGATCACTTGCAAAAACAAAAAAAAATGGTTTTCCACTTACCATCTCCATCACATTCAGCACACAGTATGCTATTTGGTTTGGTGCTTGGTTTGTTGTCTGTAGCCTGTGAATTGGAGCAGGACAAAGTAAGGTCGGGAATTGAAAACACAGTAGTTGCTCAAGCCCAAGCCCAAGAACCAAAATTAGGGTAGAAAAGTTTGAAAAGTACAGTAAAATAGTATATTCAAAGTCTAGCAAACCAGAATAAGGCATTATAGCAAAAGGGGAAAAAATGAAGAATTCACCTACTTGTACCCAATTTTGGGGTCTTAACACTGCAAATGGGTAAGTATACAGTCCCAAACAAATTGCATACTGGTTTTTGGGCAAGAATTAGAATTGACAATTCTAAACAACTGCTATGCGCATCCGAAAAGGCTCCATGCATTGTGAGGTCAAAATCAACAAACAATCACAACGTTCGAATGATAAATTAGGACTCACACGAAGCTTTAAAGCTTCGAAAGGAGCAGCCTTTGAGCTGTAAGTAGCGTCGATGAGCCAATTTGCCTTCCTGCTACTAAATTTGTGACTAATAAGCCCTGAGAAAGAAAGGCATTCATTTCCCACTGAAAATATGAAAAAATCAAGACTCCTTCAGAAAGACGGAAGAGAAAAAGGTGAAAATACACAAGTATAGATGAACTCATAACACAATATACACACGCAAAAACAAACAACACGGGACCCGTGAAAGAACAGAGACAGAGCAAAGAGGTACCAGGTCTGGTTTCAACGACGCTCGAGGAAATGAGAGGTCCAAAACATAGAGAATTCGCCATTTCTTCAGAGGATTGAAGGTAACAAACTCAGATATTTTTGTTGTGGATTTCGTGGGTAGTTTGTAGTGATTGAAGGCTACTGTGGATGATTGCGCGAGTATTGTTCAGTGGCGCGGATTAGATAAGGTTCTCTTACTATGCGACGGATATGATCCAACTTAATAAGTTATAATCAGTTGAGTTATTTTATATTCAATCACTTAACTCAAAATTCAAATAAACTCAGATTTTTTTACTTTTTATGGATCTATACTAATATAAAAAAATTGTTAAAAAAATATTTTTTAAACTTTTAAAAGTCTTGAGGTGTTCTTTTGAGATTTTAAAAGTCTTACAAAATCAAGAGGTATTCAATATATTTGAGAGTCTGAGACTAGAATTTATTTAGACTTTTAAAATTTGCTGAGATTTCAAAAGAAAAAGCCATGTACAAAATCATATTCGAAATCTCACATCCATACTTAAGATTTCATAACATTCCTTCAAAAACATGAAAATCTTAAAAAGATTAGTCTTAAAATGTCACTCGAAATACCAAACAAATACACATTAATGTCAAATTCAAAATCATTCACTGAATCAACTCTATTCAAAATAACTCACTTTAACCAACCAAGTTAGATCATAACCGCTAGAATTCATATTCAATTGCCCCCTAAGGATTGCTTGGACACAAATATATCCAAAGTCACTTTTTTTTAATCAAAATTTAGCTAATTCAAATTTAAAATCAATATTATCATTATAATTAAATACTATCAATCAATCATCCACACACATCACATCAACTTTCATTCACTATTTATCAGCTCACGTAATTTTAGCCATTCATCACTCTACATCAACTATCTCCTACTTTTACATCAAATCAACTTTAATAATTTTACTTAAATTTTATTTTAATACAATCTCAAAATCTTACTCCAACCTAACCTACCAAACTTTTTCAAAATTAATTATGTTTAACCAATAAATCAAATCAACAATCAGATAAATTTGAATTTAAGCACCTGATAATTACAATTTCTTTTGTTTACACCTACCTAGTAAAATGCTGATTTTATGATAAGATTCTTTCTAATTAATCAGAAAAATTAGGAAAAAAAATTATGTCCATATTGACTAACTAATATATCTCTTTTGGCACAACTTTGTGGAAAACATTTTCAGCTATATTTGACGTACAACTCTTTTATATTTGTCATACACGTTAATTTAATTTTTGACTACGTTCATGAAATATATTTTTGTTATTTAATATCAGGACACGCTCAGTTGCTTTTCATTTGAAAAAGAGAAGGATGAATGTGGATATCACATGTTCTATCCGTGGTGAGGGTATGGAGACAGTGAAACATGTATTATTCTCCTGTTCAAGAGCCAAAAGACTATGGAAGTTGGCTCCAGTTCAATGGGATGGCTTATCCAGTTACACTGTCTCTTTCAAGGCCTGGTGGTACCAAGTGTGTTCTCTTGACTATTCTGAAGTAGCTGAAGCAAGGATATACAACTCACTACATATATGCTTTGGTGGCTTTGGAAGTTAAGGAACCTATAGATTTTTCAAAAGACTCTGATACCAGTGCACTCCTTGATTAGAATGACTCACAAGGATTGGCTTGACTTCATTAATGCACTTTAGCTGGCTCTGGTTTGGTTGTAATTGTTTTTTCTGGTTGTGATTGTTAGTCTTCTTTGAGATTAGCCTTCTGTACTAGGCTTTTAGCAGTGATCGGAAGTTAAAACTCTTGATTTTATCTTATTTGTTGTATTTGAGGCTCTAGACCACCTTTGAGTGTGTCTATCATTTTTCTCTTTTTTGATTGGACTATGTGGCTTGTATTCGAACCTTGTTCGCTTTGAGTTTTATAATAGTTACTTCTGCCGTTTCGGAAAAAACAAAAAAAATAGTGGTTGTTAATTAACAATAGGTTGATTCAAATAGAATCGTTTGATTCAATTGCATATATTATTCCACAATATCATGATATTGTGCTTATATGATTTGTCTTATATAGCTAATCAAAGAAATTTATTTATTATAATAAAGAAAATTAATTTTACTAGTTATATTATTATTCTATATTTCTATATACTTATTTCTTTGATTATAACTATGGAGTACTTAAATAAAAAAATAAAAAAATAAAAAAAACAATTGAAATAACTACGTGCAAATCCTATATCATTTTCTTACAAATATTTACACTAAACAACTTGTTAGAAAATCATGTTAATTAAACTAGTACGCTTTTACTCGTACACATGCACGGGCGAATTAATTAGACTATATTAAAAATCAAGTGGAGCTTAAATTTAATAATAATAAATTAAAAAATTATTGTTGATTATGAGAATTGTCGTTGTACACGACATTATATATCGGTCGACTAGTCATATATAGATAACAATTCTTTAGATTTTTTTATATTTTTATCATTATAACAGTTAATGCTGAAATTTTCAATCAACGGGGATATTAAACTAATACATTATAGTGATACATTACTTAATAAACATGTCGCACAATAAAATTATAAAGTTATATACTTAAATATTCAAACTCATACACATCTCTACTATTACATGTAATATTTTTAGCTGAAATTTTTATGTTTAGTCTATATTTTCTAATCTTGATTTTAATTTTTTTAAAATCAAAATGCATTTAGCAAAAGGCATACGTGATAATATATATATATATATATATATATATATGTATATATGAGATACCATATCCGGAAGAGCAAATACAATAAATTGGTCAACCAGGTCGAACGAATCCGGCGGTCGTAACCAGAGCAGCAGAAAAGTCGATTGTCAATAAGGAGTCTTTAGGTCGAAAGGAACGAGTGGTTCAAAAGGACGACGACAGGTTGAGCTAGAGCCCTCGAATGGCTTGTTGGAAACTGGACCTGTAGGGCAAGGTTGGTCGTATGATTGACCAGAACACTTAGACGCAAGACTAGATCTGGCTTCATGAGTGGTGCTGGAATGACCACCATACCCGATCTACCCCTTGACTGGGCGATTGGACCTCCAACAACTACTGGGGCCACTAATGAGCTCCCTAGACCCAAACGATTGGTCACTAAGGTCACCAATGTCTGGACTGACCTTGAAAATCCCAGTGGTGTGCCTGCTCCTAATGGACGTTTTGAGATCCAAGCCTCATCGAAGGTGGGCTCCAAATTCTCTGAGGATCTTCATTCGCCATGGCTAAGGTGGTTCCGACGTAGAAACTCCGACGATCAAGTCAATATGTGCATGGGAAAGACGATGAACAATATATATAACTTGTAAGTATGTAAGAGTGTGTAGACTATAAATGATCATACCTTTATATAGAAACTAGTGCATATCCCGTGCTATGCACGGAGGAGCTCATATTTTAAACCATTTTTAGACTTTATTTCAAATATAATTGTTTATACTTTTCACATCGCATCTCATTATAGAAATAAAATAAGTACGGACAATTAGAAATATATATTATTAAACACCTCTATGTACACAATGTTTTTTATTTAAGGAAGATTATTAAACCTTGCAGTTTTGAATTTTTTTTTAAAAGAAAATCAATTATACATTCAATGATTGTTAATGTAAAAAAAATATTGGAAAGAATCCATATTTTAAAGTAAAACTATTTTTAATTTTTATTTTTACACATCAAAATCATCTAATTTTTTTAAACACCTTCATATCCCAATTTCAATGTTATTTCATACTTATTTATTCGATGATCAACCACTACTCAAATTACTGTTCAAATTAGAAGAGAAATTCAAAAATTATCCTATATCATCGTTTTTCTTTCTCATTTATTTTATCTTTTATCAAACAAATAATAGAAAATCCTATTCCCATCATATATATAATTATTATAAAATTCAATTCAATCTAATTAAAATAACAATTTAGAATCATTATAAAATCAAATTCAATATAATTAAAGTAACAAATTAGACAACATAACATTTGAAATTTGGCTGAAAATCTCGACTTATGTCATCCCATCAGAAACCAATAAACGTGTCGAAATTTTAAATGTTTGGGGAAAAAATTAATTGTTCTTTCAAAAAGAATTTTATTTTAATATAAGAAAAAAATCCACACGGGTGTTTATTATATGTTTCAAAAACACCCGTACAGGAAAATCAACAAACAAAATCTTTCATTAATTTTTAACATACGGAAAAAATAAATAATAAATTGTTATTAATATATTTAAGAATATAATTTTAAATTTCAAATAGAGTAAAATGCGGAATAATTTAAATTTATTTTCAAAAAGTTTTTAATATTCTGGTAAATATACCTGTAAGAATAATCTTATCAATTTTTAAGAAAAAAAATTGGCAAGTTTATTAATGAGATAAATCCGATTAGACGAAAGATTAATTAGTTAAAATATTATAATAATTATATTTTAAAAATCCAGTTAGATAAATGTAATTATATTAATTAGTTTGTTAAGAATGTGATTATATGATTATATGATGATATTGACATTGGTTGGGAACTTATTGGAGGCAATTTATCATTCATTTGACAGGTTTTATAATAAATAACTATTAGAGATTTTTTGTATTTATTCTTAAGTATGATATACATTAGTGGTGTAATTTTGATGATGATCAATTTAATTTACATAATATATACATTAGCCACTTAAATATTAATTGATCATTCGGCTTCTAGTTTTGATATTTTTTCGATGGCCACAAGAACCTTTTTTTTTTGTTATTAATTTATATATTTATATTAAATCAAATTGTATTTGATATTTGTCAAGCAAAAATTAAAATACAAAAATCTAACCAAATTTTGTCGTAATATAAGTTTATTGATTCTCTTTCAAACATATTAATAAAATAGAAATAAAAATTTAACTAAATTTGGAATCTCGAATAAAAATCGATTTTTTGGCACAAAAAAGGGAAGTGAATTTGTAGATATTATCGTAAATGCATGGCACAAAAAAGGAAGTGGTTTATTGTAATTTGAACACATATTTGCATGGGTGGAAAATGACAAAAAAAATTCAAAAACAATTTCCAAAATTGGTAAAAAAGGAAAAAAAAAAAGTTTTCGAATTTTTCCTTAGCTCTATTATATAGTAATAGATGTTAGCTTGTTGCCCAAGACTGCTCGACTGGGCTGCCCGATTGCTTGAACTACCCATTCGTACTGTCCCAGTGACCAAACTGCCCTATTCTGTTAGGACACGTGGTCCTATCCACGTGTGGTTCTTATCTTAATAATATTCATTCTTATCTCTTATGTGGTGTATTCACATCAGCCTACCTTATTAGGTGATATGATTGTGCCACCAACTCAGCCTCGTTTGGATCAGGTTACTTCGACCTTCAACATGTGAACTATCTTTTAGATTGCACCCTTGACCTTCATGCCTACAGGTCGAGTTTCCATCAGGCTAGCCGAGACTATAGCTCGACTTGTTAGTGAGTTATCTTATTAGGGAAGCCTCAACCAACAAGTTAACTCTTTGACTGTTCGCAAAATATTTTCACTATCCGCAAGTGTACGGTATAGCTGTAGTGAGTGGCGAGCAAGGTCGTATTCCACAGAGATTGTTGTCAAAATTAACTAAGTATCAAAATGTAAACGATTAAATATTATTTAGTCTAATGCAAATTTGAATGGTGATTTTATTCTAAACTAATGAATGATTGCAAAATAAATTCTAACACTAATGAAGGCTTGTTCTAAGATAAATCAAGAATGAGAAAATAGATTCTAGGCTATGCTTTCCTCGGGATTATTCTAGCAAAGATTAATTATTCATTCAAACCTTATTTAATTCTACCATTCGTAGGGATAATCGCTAAATAATTTACACCTTTCTCTCGAACAAGTTAAATCGTAGATATTAACTGTTATCTATCTCCTCCCGGTCTCAAGATGAACAATCAACCCATAAGCTCCTAAGATTCTAGTTCCCTCGCAAGATTCTATCAACCTCTCGGTCTGTTTAGTTTCTTACGTTATGAATTTCTCAATTCTAGCAATCAACTATCTCCTCTCGGTCTCAAGTCAATCACAAATATGCATAAATACGGGCCCTTATATTCACACAATTAACAAAAGCACAAGAAATTGATAAACGAATGATAAACCGGAATGAATAAACAAAATCACTTCATTAAATAATCCGAGTACTCGCAAATCCTAGAATCCCTAAAAGGTTTAGCTACTAAACATATTCTCAAAAATCAAAATAAATATATTCATGAGTTCAATGAAGAAGAAAAAGAGAAAAGCAAGAAGAACTATTGTCGCCGTTAGTTCCCGAATCTTCAATCTTGACTTCCTCGAATTCCTCGTGTGTTTCGTGCTTTCTCTAGGCCTCCAATGGTGTCAAAAGTTCAAAAAACGAGTTCCTAAGGCCTCTTTTATACTGTAGGGTCATTCAGGGTCGAAAAGGGAAGAAAACGCGTAAAAATCCTATTTTCCGCAGGTCTGGTCTGCGCGTCACACGAGTCGTGTGACATGCCACACGAGTCGTGTGACTTTTCTCCAATTTTCGGCAAACTCCCAGACTCATACGAGCACTCACACGACTGGTTCACACGAGTCGTGTGAGGCCACACGACTTGTGTCCCAACCCACACGACTCGTGTGAAAATGCCGTAGCTGCATCTCTTGTTTCTTCAACCCACACGACCCGTGTCACTATCCACACGAGTCGTGTGACTTCTTCTGCACCCGTTTTCGCCGTTTTTCCTCCCGATTCCATTTCCAACGCCTTTTCGGGCATATTTCCTGCAAAAACAACGACAAAAACACCTCTATCATAGTTTAATAAATAAAATGAAATAGTGCACAATCACACGATAACCAGGGCCAAATATCACAATATATCACTCATAATGCATGAAAATATGATGAATATCATTGACCTCCAGTATCCTCGCCCTCCGGCCGACCTGCTAGTTCACCCGGTTCAGTCTGGCCACTCTTTAGGTTATACTCGACTTGGTATGGTATCCCATTTAAATGTCAATTCATGTTTTTACATCCTGTGACAGAATGATCTTTTACACTCGGAAAAGCTATCTCATGAAATGATGTGTTGAGCAGCTAGCATATGGTTCGATTGCACAATGCTCGACTGTGAAAAGAGCTTCACACATAGAAAGTGACTGAGGATGAAAACTGTCGATTTACATTGCAGTTAGCGGTGTGAAGTCCATGTTGGGACCGGTTAGGATCTCGAAATTATGCAAGTCACGGACTATCTACGAATTAAACCCTATGCGCAGCGGAACTAGAAGTGAGGGTTCAACGCGTACCGTTTTTAATTTTGTCGACTCTGAGACGTTTCTGATTTCTGTTGAAGAAGATCGTCTGAGTCTCATGTCTGTTAGGCAGCCAGACTAGCTTTGCCATCACCGTTGGATCGTCCCGGACTCGTTGTGAGCTCACCGACACTCTTCGAACCCGTCGGACCGCTTTCGGACCCGCTCTGGGCTTGCTGGACACGTCCTGGGCCGAATCGGGCTGGCTGGAGCTGCTGACCGAGTGTTGGGCCACGTCTGGCGTGATTGGGCCGCGCGCTAGGAGCATTTGGGCCGCGGAGATGGGCTGGAGGCGCGATGGTGGGCTGGAGACCGCGCGGGCCGGACGCGGGCTGCGCTGACTAAGATCTGTGAGGGACGCGGGCTGGACGCGGGCCGCGCGGCCCATGCGCTATCTTCTTCATAACTGGGCCTCCTCGTGGGCTTCAAGCATGTGGGCTGCGCGAGTATTGGGCCTCCGCGTCTCCTCACCCCTTGTCAGTCTATCTTTGTGCATCAATTCANCCGGTGGCCGCCGGAAAATCACTGGAGGGTCGCCGAAAAGTGTCGAACACTATGAGATGATGGCCGGTTGATTCCAAGACATACGGCGGACATGTTTTTCGTCTTTTGTGAAGAACAGACAACTCTGCGGATTACAGATATATTACGGGGTTGAATATATATATTTTACGGGGTTGGATAAATATATATAAATTGATCGATCACATCAGATCTTCTGTTGTATGACCCGACATCTTCTCCGATCATCTTGGTGTGTGATGAAATCGGAGATATCTCTACTGGGATTACTTGGAGAATAAGAAGAGAACACAAAAGAGAGAAGAGAGAACAAGAGGGGGCGGCGTGTATTTCTCTTCCCATCGTCCAACTCGTGAATTATGATCTTTTTCATAATCCCAAGAGATGTGATGTATTTATAGGCTACAATAGAGACGTAAGGAGGTATTAAATTGGGCTTCTCCTATTAGGATTAGACTATAGACCAAGCCTACCAAACCCAAATAGGAATAATACATCCATTCCACTAAAGTAGTATTATTGAATAAACTCTCAATTTAATTCCCGAATTATATTCGAGGCTCCAATAATAATTACTCGATTTATCTCCCGTGTTTAAGATATAATGTCCATCAATTAAATTTAATTACTGACAATTAAATTAATCGACATCTATGACCGAGACTAGTACTACTCATATCATTATTATTATGTGGGAATAAATTCCACTGGCCAGATTTAATATAATAATCCTTCATTAGTTCATCTCGGGGACATCATCAAACTATCGCACACGGTGATTGTAAATATTCTAACAACACATCGTACATACAATAATATTACCAAAACAGTAAGTTTATTGATCAGTAAACTGAATATCACCCAAGTGAATCAAAGTAATAAATATTGTATGCACATGTTTGTTTAGTATCTTACGGGTTAAGAGTACGCAGTAATTAACCGACGTGTAGTTCGTTTACGACGATCAGTATAAAACGAAATTCTCCTCTCTGGGATCCGTTCAATACACAAAGTGCACTAGTGTAACTAATCAGTGAAGACCAACTGTACGGTTAACACTAGAACCGTTCCGATGGTTTGTTCATTTCTATCTAAGTTGTGAACCTATTATTCTTGTTTCGCAAATCACTGATAAAATGATCTTCTGTTCACTCGATAATGAACCAATTTATCTAAGTACAAAACAACAGAACGTAGACTTGTTTAATTAAACATGATTCTCATTTCAAACGGATTCAGTGCAAACAACATCAAAATCCAAGCTTGCAGCATATACACCAATAGTTCATACATGCTAGAGTTATAACATTAATTTTGATTATGGTCCCAAATCCTATTAATAGATTTAAATTTGGATTGCGGGTATACTACAACACATGCATCGATCACATGAAAACTTACGATTAGATTCTTGAAGAGCCAAACACAACCGAATCTAGTTGACGAAAATGAATCAAGAAGAAAAGAAAACAAGATTGAAGGGGTCCGTTCCAATCAGTCCATGAAACACCCCAACACCACAACACCCACAAACAATTCAAATCAACACCTCTCTAAACTCTACAAGAACCAAAAAAATAAAATAGACACA